ATATATGAACTTTAAATTAATTAATTATATATATATATATAATTATAAATATAAAATTTTTAAATTGATAATTTTTATTTTAATTTATGCAATATATATATATATATATATATTTGCATAAATAAAATAAAAATTATCAACTTTAAAAAGTATTCAATTTTAATTATAATATATATATATATATATATATATATATATATATATGAAATATTTAAAAAAAAAAAAAAAAAAAAAAAAAAAAAAAAAAAAAAAGTGTGTGTGTGTGTGTGTGTGTGTGTGTGTGTGTGTGTGTGTGTGTGTGTGTGTGTGTGTGTGTGTGTGTGTGTGTGTGTGTGTGTGTGTGTGTGTGTGTGTGTGTGTGTGTGTGTGTGTGTGTGTGTGTGTGTGTGTGTGTGTGTGTGTGTGTGTGTGTGTGTGTGTGTGTGTGTGTGTGTGTGTGTGTGTGTGTGTGTGTGTGTGTGTGTGTGTGTGTGTGTGTGTGTGTGTGTTTTTTTTTTAAAAATGAGGTGTCTTTGTGTTAATGGCGGCGTACATGTAGAGACGTGATTGAGAGAGTGAATGAGTCGATGCATGTTAATAATCCTCGACTTTTGCGGTAGGAACAATTCGTATCTCTCTCATAGACACAACTTGCAAATAAAGTTGATATGTCTTCTCTTGGTGGCATCGTGCATGTGAATGCATTGATTGAGGAAGTAAATAAGTCAATGCATGTTAATAGTCATCACTCTTTTGCAAGCGGAATAATTCATGTCGATAGGTCTTGTGTTAATGGCAGCGTATATGTGAGGGCATTGATTGAGAGAGTTAATGAGTCAATGCATGTTAATAGTCATCGGCTTTTGCAGGTAGGAATAATTCATATCTCCCTCATAGGCACACTTACCAAATAAAGTTGATATGTCTTCTTTTAGTGGCATCGTGCATGTGAATGCATTGATTGAGAGTAAATAAGTCAATGCATAATAATAGTCACCAGCTTTTGTATTAGGAATAATTCATATCTCCCTTGGCACGACTACCCAATAAAGTTGATAGGTATTGTCTTAGTGACTTGGTGCATGTGAGAGCATTGATTGAGAGAGTGAATGAGTCAATGCATAGTAATAATTTATTGAATGTGTAAGTTATTAAGATAATAATTTAATTTAATGTGTAAGTTATTAAGATAATAATTTATTGTATTTGTAAATTATTATGATACAAATTTTTTTGAATTTGTAGGTTTTTTATTCATCATTTGCAAAGTTTATATTACAAACCCAACATAAGGTAACTAAATAAGAATAGTTCAAACACTAAAACTAAATATTTGTTATTTAATCCCCATAATGGTGTCCAGTTCCACATCGGGGTCGCCTTTTGTTCCTAGTTGGGTTCCTCCTTCCCCGGGGCGGTCTAGGTGCTTCTTCCTCTAAAGGTTGGGCTTCATGATGCTCTACATCTTCATGAGCTTTATATGTGTCGGAGGATGACACTGTTTCATTATGATATTGGATATTATAAGGGGATTGTTGATAAGGTCCTTCAAAACCCTGTGTCAGAAGGTGGAGTTGGGGCATACGCTCCAAAAATGTTTGGCATTCCTAAATCGGAGAAGGAAGAAATTGAATGTCTTCTTTCATCCATAGTTCCTTCGCTTCTAGAGTGTTGTAATTGGGTTGAATGTCATCATGTTGAGGAGGTTCTGCATGTGTTGAAGTCGATGCCGATGCATCCTCGGGTCATGTAACATTTGTGGAACGGACAAATACAAAAATGAGTTTGCCACAAACCATGACATATACTCACTATTGTGGAAAAGTGACCCTAAAAGTGGTAATCCAATCAATGTCAGATCACACCTGTTCTTCCATACGTCTATCCATTCTGCATGTCTAGTAGCCCAATTCTCGTCTTGTCTCCCCTCATGTCTACTTTATGTAGATCATCAAGTTTGTTGGGTGAGTCAGGAACATCTTGTACCAGATGAAATTGTAACTTCACCCTGTCTGACTTGGTGCCATTCAACAATTGAAAAACAAAGTAAACTTGTGCAAGAGGTCCACAATGCTTGGTCCCTGTATGCTTCGGCAGGAATGATTGACTCCAATCCCTCATACGGAACCCATATAAACTATGTCAACAATACTAAAGTGAGAAACTTAGTAAATTATGAACATTAAAAAGTGAAGTTAAAAATAGAAGTGAACCTGGTTAGGTTCAATGTGGTCTATCCTTGATCGGTAGCCAAGTAAATCATTGTGGGGAACATTTTGATAGTTCGGTACACGACCCCGCTCCATCGGCATACAAGGGGGAACGTCAATTGAGTCCGTAAAATTGGTGCAATAAAGGGCATACGAAACCATGCCCGAGATCGTAATAACGACGCACATCCACCCATGGTCTTCGCACGTCGATCTGTTGCTCTACACATCTCCCTGTACAATACAGCTAAATAAGTAGAACCCCAACTATATCGTCGAGTTACTGTATAGATTACTTAAAAATTTCAAGTACATTAAGTGTACCTTATTACCAGGTTTTATCGGGCATTAAAATCCCTCCAATCAATCCTAATATATATGCCCTTGCATGGGCATGTATTTCCTATATATTTGATTCCTCTTGTAATGAGACCATATTTTCCTTAAGCCACTTTAACTTCACCATAGACCCTATCAGGGACTCCCCCTTTGTAGGGATAATACCTAATAACGTATGACACATGTCCTCCCAATCAAACATCGTTGGTCCAATCACGAGTGGACCATCAATTCTAAGCCCTAATTGAAGTGAAACATCTTGCAATGTTATTGTGCATTCTCCTGTTGGCGAGATGAAAAGTATGTGTCTCGGGCCTCCACCTCTCCACCAAAGTTGTAACTAAAGTATGATCTACCTTTAAATGTCTTAATTTAGCAACACCGTCGAATCCGACTTCTTCTATTACAGGAAGAAGAAGAAGATGTGGTTCCGGCATTGAATGACAATACGACGACACAATACTTTGTTCTGCGTCCTATATAGCCAAAAAATAACATTGTTTAATGAGAAAAAAATAACTAAACAATAATAACAATAGAACTAACATACCATCAAAGTAGTGTAGGCAACTCCGTGTTCTTGTTGTCTCCACAACAACATTTTGTTAACCTTCTTTCTTCAATCTTGACTAACACTCTTGTAAAAATTGTAGTATATGATTATGATGACTGTAAGTGTGGTTATTGAACTTCCCCTTTTAAAATATATAGACTAAAAGCTTGTATGCTTAATAAAAGCTTGTTGGACCACATGTAATGTAGATCTAAATCATGTGCGTTAATCTCCACAAATTCAATTTCAACCCTCCGATTAAAGTTGATGTATTTTGTGACAAGGACTAAAGTTTGCACGCATTATTGATGGTAGTTAAACCTAGTGAAGTATGGGCTATTATGTAATGTACTAAGGATTTCAAAAATATTAATATATTAGTTTTCCTATCTATAACTTATTTTCATTTCTAATATATATATATATATATATATATATATATATATATATATATATATATATATATATATATCCAAAATATTACAAAACACACAAAAAAAACATTTCAAAAATATAATTTTACATAAAAATATTATTTCATCTTATATACATATAACTTTTAAGATTTTTATTATCCTCCTAATTTATTATTAATTATAAAAAATATAACAATATCAAATAAATCAAAAAATTTTAAAAAATTTAATCATACAAATAAAATATAAATATAATATTTAATAATATCTTTTAAAAATATTATAATATTATTTACTACTTTCAACCATAAATCTAAATATATTATTAATCTAATAAATATATAAATCTTTAAAAACTATAAATTAAAATTATAAATTATAAATAAAATATTATAATATTATATATATATATATATATATTATTTAATGTATATTTGAAAAACTAATCGATTATTTCAAAAATTAATGGATTAGTTTTTCCATTACTCATTTACAATTAATTATAATCTAATAAATATATAAATCTTTTTAAAACTATAATTTAAAACTATAAATTTTAAATAAAACATTATAATATATATATATATATATATATATATTTTAACTATTTGAAAAACTAATCCATTAATATCGATTAATTTTTCATACTCAATGAGAATCGGTTATTTTTTTAAATAATTAATTAATTTTTAAATAATCAATTAGTTTTTTAATTATATATTAAATAAATATAAATAAAAAAATATATCAAATTAAAATTAAAAAAATATATTTATAAATTATATATAATATATAAATTATAAATATAAAGTTTAAAAAAATTATGTTTAAAATTATAACCTTAAAAAAATTTATAATTATAAAATTAATAAAAATATAACTATTTTTAATATTAAATAAATTATATATATTATATAAATTATATATATATATATATTACATAAATTAAAATTACATATCAAATTTCATATATTACATATATGAACTTCAAATTAAATTTATATATATATATATATATATTTTTACATAAATTAAAATAAAAATTATCAACTTAAAAATAAATTATATTTTAATAATATATATATATATATATATATATATATATATATATATTCCAAAATATAACTTATTTTCATTTCTATATTATAAAACATATATATATCTTTCAAAATATTACAAAACACATAAAAAAAACATTTCAAAAATATAATTTTACATCAAAATATTATTTCATCTTTATATATATATATATATATATATATATATATATATATATATATATATATTTTTAAGATTTTTATTATCTTCCTAATTTATTATTCATTTCTAAAAAAATAATACAATATCAAATAAATCAAAGAATTACAAAAAAATTAACCATACAAATAAAATATAAATATAATATTTAATAATATATTTTAAAAGTATTATTTTATTGCTTTCAACAATAAATCTAAATATATTATTAACTTAAGAAATATATAAATCTTTTTAAAATTATAATTTAATTCTATAAATTTTAAATAAAACATTATAATATTATATATATATATATATATATATATATATATATTAGTTAGTTTTTTCTTTTAATAAAAAACTAATTCAGAATTGATTGCTGAAAATCGAATTTTAATTGGTTTAAAGAAAAAAATATACATTCACATTCAGGTTTTATCTTTCAGATAATCGAATTCTCAACTACTCGATTAAAATTACTCAATTAGTTTTTCTATTACTCGATTACAATTCGTTCTTACATATTATATTTTTAAATAATCGATTATAATCAATTAACTTTTGAAATAATCGATTATAATCTATTAGTTTTTCAAATATACATTAAATAATATATATATATAATTTATTTTCATGTCTAAAATATAATTTATTTTCATTTCTATAATATATATATATATATATATATATATATATAATTTATTTATCAAGTTGATAATTATTATTTTAATTTATGCAAATTATATATATATAATATATATAATATATATATATAATTTAAAGTTTTTAATTTAAGTAATATATATATATATAATTATAATTTATATAATATATATAATTTATTTAACATTAAAAATATTTATATTTTTATTAATTTTATAATTATAATTTTTTTAGTTATATCTAAATATAATTTTAATTTTAATTATAATTTTATAATCTAAAATTTATAAATAATTATTTTAATTTTAATTAATATATATTTTTATTTGTACTTTTTTAATATATATTTGAGAAATTAATCAATTATAATCTATTATTTGAAAAACTAATCGATTCTAATCAATCATTTGAAAAACTAATTGATTCTAATCAGTCATTTAAAAAATTTGTCGATTATAATCGATTATTTGAAAAAGTAATCGATCGTAACCAATTATTTGAAAATATAATCGATTATTTGAAAAAATAATCGATTATAACCAATTATTTGAAAATATAATCGATTATTTGAAAATTTAATCGATCATAATTGAGTAATTAAAAAGTAATTGATTTAGAATTTGAGTTGTTGCAATCGAATTCTAAATAGATTGTTTTTTATTTTGATAAGAAAAAAAACTAGATATATATATATATATATATAATATTATAATATTTTATTTAAAATTTATAATTTTAAAAATATTTATATATTTTTAAAATTAATAATATATTTAGATTTATTGTTGAATGTAATAAAATAATATTTTTAAAATACATTATTAAATATTATATTTATATTATTTGTATGGTTAATTTTTTTAATTTTTTTATTTATTTGATATTGTAATATATTTTTAAGAAATTAATAATAAATTAGGAGGTTAATAAAAATCTTAAAAATTATTTGTATATAAGATGAAATAATATTTTGATGTAAAGTTATATTTTTGAAATGTATTTTTTTCGTATGTTTTTGTAATATTTTGAATGATATATATATATATATATATATATATATATATATATATTAAATATAATTTATTTTTAAGTTGATAATTATTATTTTAATGTATACAATAAATAAATATATATATAATAATAATTAATTTGAAATTCATATATGTAATTTTAATTTATGTTATATATATATAATTTATTTAACATCGAAAATAGTTATTTTTCTTATTAATGTTATAATTATAATATTTTTAAAAGTTATAATTCTGAATATAATTTTTTTAACTCTATAATTATAATTTATAAATATATTTTTTAAATTTTAATTTGATAT